GGGGGGGGGGGGGGGGGGAAGTTTAAGATATTTTGTTGAATGAGAGAAAGGCAAGGTATATATATAATTTGTATTTCACCTCCTCCAGCATGCTTAAACAAGGGACACTGAGACACAGTTTGCAAGAGAGGTAGATTACTGTGGCTATTGCTGGTTTTTAGCACTGGAGGGGTTTTACTTCGTTACTTCTTATCCCTCCAAATTTGCATGTGTTGTATCTTCAGTGTATTTTCAGGAAGCCTGCTTTAGATTCAAAGACACAGGAGTATGTGAAACTTCTGGGGGTGTTTACATTTGCCATTTGAGAAGCCATCTTTATAGTTCAGTAAATGTGTAGCTGAAGGTTGTTGCCAACAGCAGTCATGTGAGTTATCAAGGCAGTGGGGGTCGTTCAAAGGCAAGACTGAGAAGTTGCTTCCAGTGCAACATAACTTGTAGAATTTACACAAGAGCAGGACCCTTGTGCAAACAGCAGAGTATTCTTTTGCATTAGGAAAATGTTCAGCAGAAGACTGTAGCATTTACTAATGGGATAAGATGGCATTAGGTTCTTACAGACAGTACTGGTAGGTCTTCTTTTTAACTGTGTGGCAATAGTATTGTGTCGGTGTGCCACTTCTTGTCTATCAATCTGCTTTTTTGCATCAGAACTGTGAGTGGCCTGTGTCAGGTAAGGCTTTAGGCTGATGACTGGAACAAGCCTGTAGGAGAATTATAGTTAGGGGTGGGGGGCCATTTTTAGTTTGCAGTGTAGGGTGGTGGGTTTTTTTGCTTTGCTATTACAGAATTCCTGTTGACTTTACTTACTTTTCAGCTCTGGATCCAATCAGTCCTTTCCTACTCGACCACTCAGTGAATCACAAAATCGATTACTAGCCAGTGACAGTCAGTGGGTGGAAAGTGGCCCTGAAGAGGAAAATGTTAAATCAGGTAGACTGCACCGTAACACTTCTGATGATACAGTAGTTTTGTTTGTGGTGGGTTTTTCCATTTTATTTTTTTTTTTAGGCTAAAGTCCTTAGGAATTGGTTGGAGTCAAGTAGAAGAGAATTTGTACTGTAGACTCAAGTCAGCATATTTTTAAGTTAAAGCTAACTTGTGTCTCATGCTCTGCTCTAAACTGAGTTATTACACTAAGGTAATGGATAGATAATTCTTACTTCTGCACTTCCCATTCTGAGATTTTTCTTTTCTTTTCTGACTAGGGGGAGGAAAATATTTTTCTAAAACATAACATGATAAATGTGCTTTCTGGTTTGAAGTCTTTGCTATTTGTTGTGCAAATCTGCAAAAACACATAATGGAGATTCTCTCACATTTTAGGTGCAAAAAAGCATATTACAGTTTCGTTGGAAAGCTGATCTCAGCTTACTAGCTAACCATCTCAGTGAGAAACAGGTAAGACCAACATAATTGATGGCCATTTCTGTATATGTATGAGCAGTACAACTAAAGTAGACATCTTGAAGTCAAAAGTCACTAGTCGCAGAATGCAGAGGAGTCCTCTGATGCTGGATGAGTAATAGAAAAGTCTAAATAAAATTCAGAATGACTGTGCAGAAGACAAGAATGGGAGTAATGCTGTAGTGCAGGAAACATGGGCTGGCTACATCTGAGATGAGTCAGACTAATCTTGTAATTTAGATTGAAGTGGGTAGTGCTGGCTTCGTTACCTGACCAGGGAAAAGAATCTAACCTGCTGAACAGGCAACTTCAGGATGAAGTGCTGTCTTGAGGAAGCATTGTTCTTAAGGAACAGCTCCCTAACTGACTTAATCACATATTGGTGGGCCATGCTCTACTCTTTAAGAAGCTGTGTGCGCACAAGGGAGGAAGGTCAATAGGTAAATATAGTTGTCTGCTTACGGACTGCTTTGTCACACTTGGAATTGATGGTGATCTTCTTTTACGCAAGACCTCTGCACACACTTTGCATTTAGGAAATACACTGAGTGCTGCTGCATATATGAAAACTTTCCTTGGTGTATTTCCAGTGACTAAATTAGACTTCTTTTATGTTGACTTCATGCTGTGGTGAGCTTATAAGCCCCCATTAAATTTTTCTCTCTGGAAGAGAAACAAATCTTATTTGGTCAACAACCATAGATGCTGAGGGCTGAATCATTCAAACCTCTTGCCTTTTTCTTTCTTTCTTTTTTTTTTTTCTTTTCAGAAAAAAATATGGGAGACAGAACTTGCAAGGAATTTCCATTTTCTTTGGAAAGAAAACACAGTATTTGAGTTTTATGAGCTCAGTAATTTTAGGATCACTTTTATTTTTAATAAGCCTTCTGACTTAGAATCATTGGAGGGGGCATTACTTTGTTTTCAAGAAAAAAAAAAATCTGCCTAAAGGTCTTTGTTGGTTTAAACTGATGTTGGTCTGACTGCTCAGTGCAAACTCCTACTAAACCAAAATTAGAGTAGTTAGTGATACTTACCCACTAATAATGAGTTTTCCCTTTGCAACTTTTCTTAACACTTTTATATAAATGTGCAAATAAATGTCCCAAGCAAGGGAGTCCTTTCAGCTTCTAGCTATATAAAAAATAATCTTATCTAAACAGGTTACTAAGGCTTTTCTATTCTTCATAGAAAGGAATAGATACCTTCTGAGAGCAGTTCATCCCAACAGCCTTTGATAGGGTATTATAGAAAGGTCATAATCTTTCTTTCCACTGACCTAGAAAGGGAGTATAAGTGACTGGCTTAAGATAGACAATTAGCTGGTAATAGTTTGAGATTAATTTCCTTTCTGTCCTCCCTCTCTTCCTAAAGCAAGGCCAAATTTAATAAAGGAAGATTGTGTACTTTGTGTCAGACTTGCCCAGACTGCTGAAGTTTTAAAACATGTATAAATAAATAGTGCATAATTGCATCAAACACAAAAGCATTTTGGTATGTGTTATCTCAAATAATGTTTAACTCAGTAGCCCAGTGTTTCAGCCATTCTGAGTTCAGTTGGATTTGATCACAGTTTCTGTAGGCCAAGGTTAATTCCAGTCTCCCTGCAACTGTAAGCAACTATGCAATAGCTGTGAGATATGTTCCATGCACTTTCATATACCCTGTAACAGACTTGAGAGTTGTATTTTTCAATTTTATGCCTATAACATGCAACAGAATCAAAGTCAAAGTAAAATCCCCAGATTATTCTAGAGAAAAGAGCATGATTTCAAAAGGTGGCCGATCCCCTAGCCAGCAGTTCCCCAGCCTTGCCTAGGCAAATAACAATTGTGTCCCCATATCTATCAATTTAATTCAAAATGAATGAGCAGTTCTTGTCAATAAGGGATCCAAGAGACTTTAGCCACAGGTCAGTGGTGATGGATTGATGTTCCTAGTGCAGATAATCTTCTAAAATGTAAGAGGTTTAAAACAAAAAAACAAAACAGAAACACCCATACCTCCCAGAAGCCTCATGATGACTTGAAATTACCTTAACTGCTGTTCTGAATCAGGAGTCTGTAAATCACGTTACCTAGCTGGCATTCTTGTAATGCACTATTATCTGTTTTTTTCAAAGCTAATGATGTAATTCCACTAATTACCTTTTTTATTTCACTAGGTTTCTGCAACACATTTTGTGCTTGAATATTACTTAATTTTGTTTGGAAGAAGTTGATCAGTAAAAAAATAGAACATGAACATTTTAGGAAGAGACAAGAAATTAAAGTTTCTGCACAGTACAATGGATTCTTGTAAGCACTATTGCAGAGCAGGGAAGTTAAGACAGATGCCTTAAGATTAATGTGCATTTATGCAACACTGAATTACATACTGCTACCAAAGGGCCAAATTCTGAAGTTCCCTGCTTGGATGCACAAGGTCCAGAGTGGGAACTGTGCATTTCTGTTATTTATGCTGCAGTGGTGTGGGTAGATTGCAGAGACTCCTACCTCCCCACAAGCAAACTTCACACCTTAGGCACTGCAGAAGTCACTTCCATAGCAGGTCTCCAGTGTACAGAAAGAAAGAAGAAAGGAAAAGGAAAAGAAACAATCAACATAGAGTGTGGCCAGTGGGTCTGAAGTGTGACTATACATAGTTCAGACACCAGGTGATGCGGAAAGGACTGGATGATGTCTTCTCCCCTTTTCCCATTAACCAGTCTACCCTGTCATCATAGCTCTCCAAATCTTTCAGGACTGAGGATTCCTTCTACTAGCTGTGCTTTGGAGCAAGGCAATGCCAACAACTTAAAAGCCTTTTACTTGGGTGTCGCTTTTTTGCTATAGTATTCAGCCCCCTCTTCATTTTAACTTGATTTATTTAAACCACATCAAGAACAGAGCTCAAAGAAGCAAACTTGGTTTTTAGTTGAAAAAACAGTTGTCTATCAGTATACAAAGAAAAGCCAATCCAGAAAGGAATTAACATTTGTTAGATTTTCTGTTCATGTCTGCAGTGTTCTGTATGAGGCAGTAACAAAATGGTAAAGTACCCCTGAAAAAAAAATCATTGCAGTTGCGTGTTGTTAGAAAATGGAACTGGAAGAGTGCTGCTTTTTCTGTGGGACTCTTGATGGTTTCTAAATACTGTTTTATACCTTTGTTTTATCTTTTTAATAAAGGCACAGGTTTTTATTGGTTCTAAAATACCATTTAAACAAATCTCAAGTACATATGAGAAAATCAGTGTTGGATCATACATCTGTGTTAACACATTAAAAATTTGTGCGCTTTAGTCTGCCACTTTCAAGTCGAGTTTAAGTGATGCTGAAATTGCTAAAAATTGAGTGTTTTGTGTACCTGTTCACAAAATGTGTTTCCTGTGTGAGGAATAAAGTCCATCCTAGGTACTCAAGACCTACAGCAAAAAACATGGGGTTTTTTCCCCCCTCACTCCTCTATGGAGAAGACTTCTAAATCATCTTTGGGTGGTATTGGAATTTTGCACCTGGAAAAAGTGACAAATACTATTTTCCTGTCTGTAACTTTTCTGATGTTCAGCTGATTCTGGTTACAAATAAATGTCAGCCCTTTTGGTACAGACTGAAGGTAGTAGCCAAGTTGATGATTTGGACCGAAAGAACCTGTTTAGTTTCTTTCCCAGACTGATTGCTACTTAAGTCAAATATGTTTATGATGGAGATACTAAGGTACCAAGTATTCTGTAAGGTTTAAAACAAGTATTTTTTGTCTTTGGAAAGAATAATTTTTTCTTATACTCATCTTCTAGAACAAGAACACTTTGAGAACCTGTGAACACGATTTGGTTACTGTTGGATGTTCTTGAGACAGAGACAGAAAGTCCAAACTTGCATGTTTTATAAATGTTGCAGAATGTTTCTTCAAACTTCATACAAGAAATTCTGTATTTGCTAATTTCATAACTTACAAAACCATTTGCTATATATTAAGCTGAAAGGTTTAGCTTTTTCTTCTTAAATGTCAAGTGAGAAGTGCTCATCTGAATATAAGCTCTCAGCAGTACTGCACCAGACAAAGTTCTTGGGGAAGACAACAGAGACAGAAGACTGCAAGTTCAAATGGCTTGTTCTGAATACCAGAATTTACAGCCCTAAACACTGGTGTAATGGAGGGCCCAGGGTATCACCTTGCTTTTACTGCAGCAGATTACAGCTGAGATAACACATACATGCACAGACATCATCTAGTAGAACTGTATGCAAAATCTGTTTCTCTAATGTGGTAAGTATCACTGATTCAGCAGTATGGTCTCTGCTCCCCTCCCACCCCCCAACGTTTGATACACCCCCATATGAATGTATATATACTGTAGGCTAACATCAGTATAACTTCTTTGATTTCTTAAGTTAGGATAGTTAACCTTCAAGAAAAACTGCAAGTAAACAGAATGGGCTAATTCCACGTGTGTTCTCTAGCAAGTGCTGGTCTTCTGAAACCAGTTCTTTGTATATCTGATGGACTTTTTTATGGCTTTTCATAAAGAGCTGATGTTTCTGACATCTTTATGCAGATCACAGGTACATTTTGGCCCAGATTTTTCTCACATTTCAGATGAGAAAAGAACAGTGTGCTTAGGATACTCTGGAGGCTGTAGTTCCTGTTGGTGTAAAAGCAGGCATTAGTGAAGTCACTTTGGCAAATATGAAATGTAGTAAAGTGATTCAAATATGATTCTTCCAAATTCACCACCCCCAATGTGCCCCCCCCCCCTTTTTTTATTTTTTTTTTTTTACCCCTGGGGAACTGGTTACTTAAGAGAAACTCCAGCTACACAGCTAATACAGTTGGGTGTTTTTCTTACAATTACTTATTCACAGAGTGTAAAACATACACATTGCTGTTCCTACCAAAGGCATGTTACTGGAAGAGGGCAGGAAGAGGTGTAAGTTTCTGTCACAAGGGACTTCCTACAGCATTATCCTGAGATTGCAGTCACAAGTTAGATGCATCATAAGCCTTTGATTAAAAACTTCCACTTTAAATATTCAGAGGGTTACTTTAGAGGGAGTTTGAGCGCTTCTGTTTTTAGTGATTTGAGTAGAGATGATGATTTTTGAGAGATGATTTTTGTTAAAGCTGCCCCTTGAGTGTGAAATTTGCAGGTACCAAGCTACTTTTTGTATGCTCTTAGAAACTGGTCCTGTTCTGAGTTGTCTAGAGTTTTCAGGTACGCTTTCTTCCCTTGTTTGATCTTGTGTGGCTCTTCTGTATTGTAAGTAATCTTTTGTGGTTTGGAGGTTTTGGTTAAGTTCAATACCATTTAATATGCACTCCCAAGAATTTCTTGATCTAAAGTATGGCCCGGTTGTAGCTCACCAGAGCCGCAAGAGGAAGAAAGCGGCGTTTGCAGCAGCACACGTGCCTGGCAGATTGAACCAGAGATGCAGACTGATACAGAGACTAACTGGATGGATCTGCCTAGAACTGGAGCACTGAAAAAAACACAACACCCACAACTTTGAGCTTCGTAGTGTATGTTCTTTGAGGACACAGTCTAAAATTGTATATGATGGGGTTCAGGTGTGCATTTACGCAGGCTCCAAATAGCAGCTACTTGTAATTCCATGCTGATCAAGAACACATCTTTCACAATACCTAAAAAATAGCTAAGCATGCAACACCAGAGGCTCTTCTATCCCTAAATGGCACCAAAGAGAGCAGCTGCATATAAAGTGATTTGTTAGAATACTGAACACATTTACTACACTCATTTCTATCAATTTGTTTTGTATATATAGACAGCTTTTTATATGCATTTTTCTTAATTACATAACTGTCGTGAAATGTAATGAAGCTGCAAGTTGTAGTTAGTTTTAATGCTGATTAAAACCGGTGTTTGGCTTTGTTTTCTGCAGCAATTACTTGAATCTTGTTTCCATTAGGTAGTGAAATCTGATGTTTACAGGATCGCTTGCATTGTTTTGGGGGGCTTTCTCCATCTCTCTCTTCCCATCCCCTGTCCCAAGAAAGAGAGAGCACATGCTCAGCAGTCAACTAGATGTGCTGGGGATGAAGTATTGGCATCACTTTTATCAGCACCAAAGCATTAACAGTGACATGCAGACTCCCTTCTGTTTGTTGCTTACCTGACAACTTACATGCTTAGCATGTTCCTCTCCGATTGCTTCTGTCCCTTAACCAATTGCTATCAGTTTTATTTCTGAGAAAATTAAATCTTTCTGAACTGCAATTTACAATCATAAAACTACCACAGAAAGAGGCAGCATTCCTGCTGTTAAAAATCTGCCCCCTCTCCCTGTCCCCTTTTTAACTTAGATGAACTAAACACCCCCAGGTTCTCTCTCCAATTATTTTTGTATTTGCCAGCAAGGGTCATCAACATTTGCACTAATCACAGTGTCCTAGCTGTTCTACATAGTTATTTTTTAATTGTGCTGCCTAAACTTGTAATGAGCTGTATCTGAGGTGAAGTGTAAAAGATGTATGTAATAACGACACAGTTATTGTATTTTTTTGTATGTTACAGATAGGAGTAGTCCTATGCACAGAGAAAAACATGTTGCCATTTATAGTTTAATACTTGAAGTAACTTTTTAAAATGGGATTTTATAAATTAATTAAAATACAAAATCACATTGCTTTGCCTGGAAGTTCCTTCACATTTTAATTGTATTGTGCAATTATCCCGTGTGTATACTTTTCCATAAATGTTATCTTAACCACTTATAACCATGGAAAGTGCATTCAAGATTTTGTACAACTGCATTCAGACCTGTTCATACTTCTCTGAAGTACAGTTCATGTTTAACTTAAAAAGTTGTACTATTTTAGGCCTCTTTTCCAAAGTAATAAAATATGGACTTGACACTTGAATCCAACAGTGAATGAAACATCAATGTAATAAAAGTGTGAAAGAACCTGAGAATTGCATAGCTGTAGCATGTGTATTAGATCACTGAGAAAAACTGGCTACCTGGGAAACATTTTGTAATTATTCCAGTTTTAACATTCCAGCTGCAACAAACCTAAGATTACACTCACTCATGGCACATCTTCCAAGTCACTTGGTCTTGAGAGGGGAAATAAAAAACCCCTCTTGACTTGTGGCTGACGATATTCCTTCAGGACACTAAACATGATTTAGAAATCAGATTGCCACTCAAAAAGGAAGCAGATGTGTTCTGATTAGAAATAATCTCTCTAAGAAGGCAGTAACACCCAAGTTGACAGGACAATGACACTAGCATTTAAGTTCATCAGTTCTTTCCAGAAAGTTTTAAAAAAACATAACATTTTACTACCTTCCTTGAGTTCCAGCCTCAAACACCTAACTTTGTAATTCTTCATCTTAGTCCTTGCATGCCCAGTGAAGCGAGTGCTACATAAGTATTGCCTGTTGTGCCTCAAGTGTTGATGTGTACAGAACTATCACTTCAGAAGGGAGAGTGACCCATAAGACCCACCTGGTCAGTACCAGCAGATCATCCCTTTCAAGATAGCAGGTGTGTTCTAGCTTTCAAATGGAATCAGTGAAGCTGTACGTCTCCTTCACATCATCATTGC